GTCAGAGCATCTCAGTGAGAGTGTCTCAGCAAAAGGGGGAGAAAGACAGAGAGAACAGGCCTCCTTACACAGAGGAAAGAAAAAAACTGTTTAAGGAACTGCAAAATCACCAGGTCAGTGTTATGCACTGGTATATAAAGTGGGTCTTCCACACCCCTTCATGCCACATCTACTTAGTTCCTACAAAGCCCAACACAAACGTCTTTAACTCTTTGTGCGAAGCTAATCGTCCTTAAATGAAAAAACTTAACACCCCTGGCAGACTTAACATGAAGATGACTGTGAAGAGAGAAAATACAATTCTCATTAATGGGATGAGAACACAATCAAACCTGGCCTCTTTTTTTGTAGGTCATGTTAATCATAATAGCTCAGTCCCCGTCGACCAAGTAAACCAGCTAAAACCCACAAATATGTACTAAAAACATTTGATGATGTTTTTAGTGTATCAGGGCAAAAATATTAGGACTTTAATCAACTGACTGCAGGGGCATTTTACACATCAGTGACTTATGGTAGATCAAGGTTATATAAGAACAAATTAACTGTGTTATTGAGGATATGTAAGAAACAATATTACTCTAAAGTATTAGAGGATAATAAAAATAATATGAGAGGTACTTGGAATATATTAAATAAGTTGATTAGAAACAGTACCAGCAGGAGTAACTACCCTCTATATTTTATGGACAATGATACATCGGTCAACAGATTTGAGGATGTAGTTGAGAAGTTTAATAGGTTTTTTATGAATGTGGGTCCTGGTTTAGGAAGAAGCATTTGTACAAACGTCAATATAAATAACAATACAATTGAAAGGAATATGTGTTCTATGTTTCTGAAGCCAATAATTGAAAAGGAAATTTATAGAGATAGTGAACAAATGTGGTAATGAATCATCCAGTGATAGTATCACTATGACAACTGTTAAATGGGTAATTGAGGGGATATGCAAACCATTAACCCATGTTTTTAACATGTCATTTTGACTTGGGCAGTTCCCCAATAATATGAAAATAGCAAAGGTTATTCCTCTGTATAAATCTGGTGATAAGCACGACTTCACAAATTATAGACCGGTTTCTCTGTTGTCACAGTTTTCGAAAATCTTGGAAAAACTCTTTAATAACAGATTAGACACATTTATTGATAGACATAAAATCCTCTGATTGCCAATATGGTTTCAGGTCGAACCGATCAACATCTTTGGCCATTACAAACCTGATGGAGGACATAAGTGCTCTGGATGAGAAGAAATACATGATGGGGATATTTATTGACCTAAAAAAAGCATTTGACACAATCAATCATGAATTATTAATGGACAAGTTAGAAAAATATGGGATCAGAGGAATGGTTCTGAAATGGATTAGAAGTTATTTGACACAGAGGCGTCAATTTGTGAAGTTGGGTGAATACCAATCGAGTGAGCTG